TGCTGACAAATGATCATTTAAGCAGGAGATTTTTAAATAAGATTAATGAGAACTGCCAGTGTAAAATGAGCCCACCTCTCTCCCCTGTATTTTTCTGGTGTCGAGTGGAAAGCAAACACTGTCTGGCTTTGAAGCACAGCTCCTGTTTTGACAGTTTCCTCTTCAAAAAGTACTGCTCGGGTTTCTCCTCAGCCCCATAGTGTTGTTTAAACAAAGTTAGATTTTTATTTTGTAAGAGAGGTGAAAAATGTGTCTGCCTTTCTCCTGTTCTTTGGCAGGGAGGCAGCAAATACCACTTTTGCTTTTGTTTGTTTTTCTTTCAACAAGTCCTTTGGTCAGGAGGGGCTCCTGGCTTGGCAACCCCAGGACTGTAAATCCTCTGTTAATCCAGAGCGGGGCAGGTGTGATGCGAGTTCCCTCCCTGCTCACCCAGTACATTTCCACTGCCACAGCAGTGGGAGAGCTGAGGTTGTTCCCTCTGACCTGTCCAGTCCATGGCCTCTCTGCTTAGGCTGTTTACAGGTGTGCTGCTGGGTGACACAATAAGCACATTTGTTCCTTAAAAAACATTGTTCCCAGAGCTGCGCAGGTCGTGTGGTTCAAACGATGGACTCTGCAAACCTGCATGTCTTGCCTCCACTTCCATCAGCCACCCACACTTTGGTTTAAGGGCAAAATCCTCCCCCCTCTGACAATTAATAGAAGTTTCAGTATGGACTTGTGTAGGAGAACAACCCAATGGAATAAGTAGGAACTGTTGGAGTATTTTGCTTGGCAACACAAGTCACACTTTTATAGGGTATCTGTCCTGTTTACCCAAGAGGAATAAATCCAGTAGAAGTTCAAAGCCATTTAGGAAATATTGATTTTTAGCTGAATGTCTAGATAGCTTAGAGTTATATCCTTGGCTTTCCATAGGCAATGCTGGTCATCTTTCCTACTCCAGTTACTTATGTTCAAAACAGTGCTTAAGTTTTACAGCTTTGGGGTTTTTTTTAACTCCTGCACAGTGTGATTGTGAGCAGATACTGTGGCCGAGAGGTCAAATCAAGTCAAGGTTTGCTTCAAAACTGCTGGGACTTCTCCTGCAGCCATGTTAAGTTCATAGCCAAGGCCCAAACCTCTTTTTCATATAACCTACAGGATTCAGATTTTCTTAAGCTATGGAGACTTTAGGCTACAGTTGTCCAAAAAGTGGCTGTTGTTCTCCCTTTGGCTCAGAGTTGTTTGCAGGTCTGGTCCAGGTCTTCTCCACAGGGGTGTGCCCAGGGGAACTTGCTCACTGCAGCATCCCTGATGCCTCATCTCACATGGAGTTTTCCTTTTTTTCTAAAAAATGCCAGAACAAACTGGGAAGAAGACAAAGGGTAAGAAAAGTGACCCAAGAAGGAGAGGAAGAGATGGTAGAAAAAATAGTCCCGAGAAGAAAGAGAAAAGGAAATCAGTCAACGAAACTGTATTGGGACAACTGGGTAAGTCTGATTTTATGGGTGCAGAGCTGACCCGTCCTGCTGGTGGCTCCTTGTTTTGGGGAGCAGGATTAAGAGTCCCAGCCCTTGGTCTCTGTCGCATGTCTGAGGCCATAGGAGCCTCTTCCATCCCTCCCTTGCAGGCATCAGCCTGAATGATCCACTACCCTGGTCCCACGGGAGAGGCCAGGTTGGAGACATCATCCCTGGCAGGCTGCGGGGTGTAAATCTCCCCCACAGCTCCAGGGTTTGTGCCTGGATTGGGAGAACATGTTACAAAACCTGCTAGGTGTTGCTGAAGGGTGATTGCACTTTTTGGTGATAAAATCAGACTTACCCAGCCTGCAGTAGGGGCTCCTGGCCCGTGTCTCCTGGTGCTGTGCATGGGTGGTGGACACAGCCCGTGGGCTCTGTGCTGGCATGAGGTGTCCTGTCCAGGACCCTGTGGTGGGCCCAGTTGTGCCGATGGTCTGGGAGCATCCAGGAGGGAGGATGCTCTCTTGCATTTGCTCAGGGGAGTGAGGAGATGCTGGCTGGCTCTCTGGGTGCTCCACCCTCCTCTGACTCTTCCCCACCAGCTACTCAGCAGTGGTCAGGGCTGGAGGGAAGGGGGGGGGAGGGGGGTGAAAGAAAAAAGAAAAAAAAAAAAAGAGGAAAAAGATCTTTTTTGACAAGTGCAAATGGTTTTGACATGGAATTGGGGTTTTGTTGGACTTCCTCTGGTGCTGTTACCTCTGCCAGCGTGGCTGGAGGTGATGAGTTTGTATGTGCTCAGCTGTCTCAGGGATGCAGTGGTCCCATGGGGCTCTCAGACAGTCCAGAGGGACTGTCAAGCCCTCCTGGGGGTACAGAGAGTCTGTCTGGGAGGTCTGGGCCACCCTGTCTCGCTCTGCTTTGCCCATTGCTCACCCTGGCACTGCTGCTTTCTGTCCGTCTCAAAGCTGTTGGATTTTGGGCAGGAGCCCCTTTGGAAACAGGGCCCTGTGCTGTTCTCTGCTGAAGAAACTTCAGGTTTTCTGAGGCAAGTTCCATCAAATGATGGAAGGCTGGGGTGTCTCTGAGAAAAGCTGCAACTTCTGTGAGCCAGGGAAACCCCGCAGCTGACCCAAAGCTTTGCCAGGGTCTTGTAACCTCCTGGAGTTTATTAGGGGCCTGAAGCATCGCTTGGGGCTGTAGTAGTTGGAGAAGGGCTGGGGGAGGACAAGCTCGGCAGCACCCTTTTTGTCAAGACCTTGTGGTGCTTGGTCTCTGGGTACCTCACCGTGCCCTGAGCTCACCCCTGCTTCTGCTTCCCCTCCCCTACATTGTGCTGCTACCAGGAGACCAGCAGATGGTGTGGACACACATGGTGCCTCTGCCACTGCTCTGTCCCTCCTGGGGCTGCACTGAGTGCTTTAAAAGGAAACCAAAAATCAAACCTATGTTTTCCTCGATCCATAAAAACCAGCTCTCATGCTGAACACGTGGGTTTCTGTTCCAGGATCTCGTCTGGGCACAAGTCCCACTCTGGGATCAGATACTGAACTTTTAGGCTCTCTCCTGGGCTGATGGTCCTGCTGCCTTCACATGGGGATGTGTTTTCCACCCACACCAGGGTGGGTAGAGCTTGGCATCTTCACTGCAGAAAGATGCTCTGTTGAGATTCGGGGAGGTTTGAAGGGTGATGGGTCCATGTGGGACCAGGTGGGTCGTTGTGCTGTGACCTCAGTGGACCCCAAATTCAGCATTAGTGCTGGAGTAAACCCTCTGTGCCCTGACATGGTGTGTGTGCTGTGGTTGACCTTTCGAGTGTTTCTTTGGTGCTGAGGAGTTCTGGTGAAGCCAGGGGTGGTGTCACAGGGCAGTGTGGCTGTTCCTGGCTCCTGAGGCAACCTTCCACTTTCATCTGGTTGTTTTGTTTTTTCCAGGCTTGTCAACCTCCTTCCCCATTGACGGGACCTTCTTCAACAGCTGGTTGGCACAATCAGTCCAGATCACCGCCGAGAACATGGCGATGAGCGAGTGGTCCCTCAACAACGCCCACCACGAGGACAGCACCCCCGGCCTCTCCGAGGAGCTCCTCCAGGATGAGGAGACCTTGCTGAGCTTCATGATGGACCATTCCCTCAGGTCCCCGTTTAAGCAGAGCGAGGCCTCCAAGAAAATGAGAAGCAAAACGAGAACGAACACTAGGAAAAAGCTGCCCAGGAGCAGCCCCCCCACCACAGGCGGGAGCCACCCGGAGAGCTCGGAGCCTTGGACTAACAACGGCAGCGACTTGTCAGATGATGCCCTCATCCCCCTTTTCTTGTCCTCTTCTATATTCTCTCTCCAGTCCTGCTCTGAAGCTAATTAGAAACTGCCTCTGTTAATAAAGGGAGCTAACAAAAGGGTGCAGAGAGGGATGTCTATGTTGGTTAGACATCAAAGTAGGAGAAAATTAGTATTTGAGTTGAGCTGGGCGCTTCCCCCCAAGGCGGAGGGCGCCGGCGGGGCTGCCCTGCGTCGCTTCGAGGCCGAGACGGACGGGTACTTCTCTGACGCCGAGATGAGCGACTCGGACGGGGAGCCCCGCCGGGCGCAGCGGGGCCAGCTGGAGGCGGCCGGCGAGGACATCGTCAGGATGAGCATCCTGGCCTCCTAACTCCTCCCCAGCTCGACGAGGCCTCAACCCAGTTCCAACTGCCATGTCCCAATTCCTGCCTGGTGTCACAGCGAAGGGGGATTTTTAATATGTGTATATAGTTGGAAATTCGGCACTGTTGTCTTTTTTTTCTTCTCTCACACGCCTGAGGTAACAGCTTCAGCTTCACCGACGTCCATGGCCGTGACAGCAGTGGTTCCTCCCCAGCTCCCTGCCGGGCCACACTTCCCGGGAATGCCTGCCAGCACCTGGCGGGAGCGATGCCGAGAGGGTGGAGGTGCCGGTACCTGTGCTTTCTGCAGGGATGACAGTTAAATTAATGGGCATTATTTAATGAGGGGCAGATTCCTGCCCGGGACGGTTGCCCCCGGAGCAGGGAGCGAGCAGAGGGTAGGGGAGCAGCCAGCTGCGCCTGCCTGCGGAAGCAAATTAAGCGATACTAAACTAAATAATGACTAAAGCACAAAAAGCTTGTTGGAGGAAAGCACGTGGGGTGGCAGAGAGCACTCTTACATTTCTATTTTTAGGGAAGAAAAAAAACCCAAACGCACGGGCATGATTTTTCCCTTTTCCATCTGGTTGGGATCCATCCAGGGGCCAGGATGCAGAATTTCTCCCCATCCCTGCCCCCCTCGAGATCGTTCGAAAAACTGAAGTGATTTACTCAGGTGAAGGGATCAGCTGTTACCAGGCTGGGAAATGGCAGCGTGGGGCAGGATGGAGGAGAAACACATCCCTTAAAACCCACTGCGGGGTGTCAGGGGTTTTGGGTTTAACCCAGGAGGTTGAGTGAAGTTTTTCTACCCGTGCTTCTCTCTGCTGGTCCCACCGTGCCGGGGCGACTCGTTTGAAATCCCCTTTGCACAAGGAAGCACCAGACGTCCCGTCCCCAAGGGGAACACAAACGCTGCCTTCACCATTTTGTTTCCCTACTAAATGCTACAATGGAAATGGTGAATTTATTCCTCCCCCTCCTTTTTTTTTTTTTTTTAATTATTATTAATTATTATTATTATTATTATTCTTTAAATCCTGATTACAAGCTGTCGACTCATTGTGGGAGGGTGATTCAGAGAAGCTGACATTATAAATATAACAATAATTTAATGCATAAAATGTCCCCAGTAAGCCTTAAATGTTGTTTAAAAGCCCACATTACCTACAAGTCAGGCGAATTTCCATGTTTGCACTTAATTGCACCATTACTTCGGTTTTGGCTTCAAAGGTCACAGTTAAGTCGTGCTACGTGTTTTATTGGAGTGACCCCAGTGTGAGCTCAGGGAACAAACAAAACAAACAAACAAAAAAAAAAAATAGGAATTCACTGAAACTTTTGTTGTCGTCGTTTTTTAAAAATAAAAATTAAAAAAAGTTTAAAAAAAAAAAAAAGTTTAAAATAAAAAATACACAAACAAAAAACCAAACCTGGGACACTTCTGCAACCGGTTCTACCCGTCACTAATCAAAAAAAAACCAACAACCTTGCAGTTGTCAAACCAATCAGTCAAATAATGTTGTGGATGCCAAAGAATATTTTGACAGTCAAGCAGCACAGCCAGAAACCGGAAACTTGTCATTCTGAAAACAAAAAAGCTACAGATAAAGGAAAGAAAACAAAACAAAATTGGGAGTTATTTAGCAACAAAGGACTAGAGACACACTCATACCACACTGCTGCGGCGTTAGGTTCCAGGCTTGCTCCCAGGGATGCTGCTGCTCCCAGACCGCATCCCGCCGCTTCGGTTTCCGATGCTTTTTGCTCATTTCACTGTGAGCTTTCTGTTGAAACTCTTGGAGACTCCTTCGATCAATGTTTTTAGAGTAGATCATCTTGATCAGCCTTTCAAAGTCCTTATTCTTGGTAAAATTGCAGCAAAGCTAAGCGGTGACAGCCCAGCTCAGCCCAGGCATGGTGAGCAGCGGGTGGAATCCTCAGCACCCAGCCCTGCCTGAGCCCAGCACTAACGTGGCCAGGACTGACCATGCCTGGGGAGGAATCGTCCTCCCATGGGAAAAATGGGATGCGAGTTATTAGCAGGAAAACAAACAAAATAAAAATGACCAACAATCAACGAGAACCACCTTTGTTATCAATTAGCGTAATCTGTTGAGGTTGGAAATGAAAAATCTGCTCATTAATTAAGGCTCAGTATGTTCAGATAATGTTAAATACAGTAAATAGGACTTAGTTTATCTTATCAGGCTTGCTAGCTTTAGCTACAGTATCCTAGTATAAGAGTCATAACAATAATCAATATGCTGCCTTTTAATGAATCTTGCTTCCGTGTGCTTCACTCAATTATGGTTAAAACGAAAAAAAAGCAATCCACAAATTTCACTGTACACAGCTCCATTCATCAGCTTCTGCACTACTTGTCTTCTCAGTACAGGAAAGCAAAAAGGGGGAGATGTTAAAGAACAACCAACCCAAAGCCACCAGCACCAGGCAGTAAAGTCTGAAGTGCTCCCAAAATGTCAGGCACTGTGTTTTGCCATCGGGAGATGGTGGGGAATGCTAAAGATGGCTGGTGGGGCACGTCAGACCAGGGAGAAGAATGGGATGTGGGGAATAAAGAAGAGAAAAGGGCTCATGTGAAGTGTGGGGCTGGGCCACAGCAGGAGAGGCTGGAGCATCCGCTGTCCAGAGCATTCTCTGCCTGGAGCATTTCCTGCCCAGAGCATCCCCTACCCAGAACATCCCTTACCTGGAGAATTACCTGCATGGAGCATCCCCTGTCTAGAGTGTTCCCTGCCCAGAGCATTCCCTGCCTGGAGCATCCTTGCCACCACCTCGGGAACCAGGCGCCTGCTGCTAGGGAGAGAAAAATGCACAAGGTGAATATTTTTGATGTTACTGTAAATGTATTTTGAAAATAATAGAAAGGGGGGTGGGGGGGGGGGGGAGAGGGGGGAGGAATTAAAAATATAGGGGTTTATTTTAGTAGAGAAATGTTGTCTTTTAAGATGTATAAATTGCAGGGGAATCGACATTTGCACTGTAAGAGCACCCGTTTCCTTGGAGAAGCAGCAGTTGAGCTGAGGATGCAAATGGCATCATGCCCTGATCATGGAGCTCAGCCCCAGCCCTGATGGTTCCTGCTCCACACACCCG